TGCAATCCGTGCAGGCACACACCCTCACAGACTGCACTACGCCGCGAGGGTTCTTGGTAAACCTCACGCCGTTAAGATAGCTGCGTGCGCTGGCACTCAGACAAGACACAACCAGGACACCCCTCTCCCGGGGGGCCGCTGGCGTCCGGGTCCCCAAACAGCCCGAGGGCCGTGTTGGTGCTTCCACTAGTGCAGTTCGAGTGCAGTGCGCCTCACAGGCTGACACCGCACACCGTCTCGAACTGTCCTCGACGCCGCCAGTGGCGGGCCGACGGCAGGGTAGGGGCTGCAGGCCGTGCTTCGAGGCGCAGGCTCTACTGCTCATTCATGGCTCCGCACTCCGCTCCGCGCGGCGTGTTGAGTATGGCTCACACCAGCAGCCAGACGGCTGCTGGTGGATGCTCGCGCTCCCCTCGCGCCGTCCTTGGCACGAGAGGGCGGGTTGATTTGCGAGTGCACCACGCAATGCCAGCTGGCCCTGCGGGTGCACTTCGCCCATGGCCGTGTGCTCAGCTGGCGGCACTGCTTGCTGCATGGCCATGTAAAGACGCCATTTTTGCACGGTGCTTTGCGCAAAGCATTACGTATGGGGCCACCTGCGGCTGGGGCGGTCCTCGCATTCCAGCTGGCGTGGACGACTGCTGTCCTCCTGTTGGCTGCTGGCTCCTCGTTCGAAGCTGAGCAGGCTGGTCCTCGCTGCAAAGCCTGCGGTTTGCATGTATTGGACTGGCGGCGCGGTGCTGCACGCACTGCGGCGCGGATCCGTTTGGCCCATTGCGCCCGTCCGTAGGACGGGCGCGGTCGGTCGTGGCCTGGCGGCGGCACTCGCCTCCGGCCTGGCCAGCGTCAAAGCGAGTCGCCCAGGCTCCCTGCTGGGCGGCTCGCGTCGTGTTTGTAACGGTTCGAAGAAGCTCTTTGTTCACGGTTGCACCGTGAACAGGAGATTGGTCGAGGCTATGCACAAGCGATGCGCGTAGACTCCGTGTGGCTCTGGGCTGCAGCCTGTTAGAGAGCCGAGTCGCTTTAATAGCACGGCCGGGCACGGTCGTACCTCGCGTGCCCTCTGTGCGAAAAAAATCGCCTGTACACTAAAATCCCCGTCCACGCTGGTCCCCTTTCGTGTGAGCAGCCAGGGCGTGTCACAATCGTGCTCACAAACGGCATTTCTTTTTTATACTTCGAAATGCGCGTGTTTCTTCTTTTCAGAGCGCCTTCTTCTTTGTTACATTAGTCATTACAAACGCGAAACGGAGCCTTGTCGCAGACGCAGTCACACACACCACCGGCACGACCGCACGCGCACCCCGCCGGCACCGCAGCGCGCGCGCAGCGCGCACGCCCACCGCCCTGGGCTATCCGCCCCGGCGCGCCGCCCCGCAGCGCGCAGCAGGGCGCGTGGCAAAAAAACAAACGAAAAAAATGTGATATGTGTCATGTCACACGGGGGTGGCGTTGTGCGCCCCACGGTGGCACACACCGTCCGGCCGGCCGCTTTCTCCGAGCCCCCCATGCGCGTGCGACAGACCCGCTCGAACGGCGGCTGGCGAGGCCCTCGCATGGCGGCACACACACACGCGACACACACATAAGTCAACGCACGAGGCGAGGAGGAAACGACAACCCAAGCGGCTGCAGCGCCCAAACCCTTCGCGGAAGATGGGCGCATCGCAGCAAAGGAACGCCGCTCCAGGGCGAGAAGAAGGAGGCGGGACTGGACCCCCCCCCCCCCCCCCCTCTCCCCCTCTCACAGGTCGTCCTCTAGCCGCACCGCCGTTGGGCCAGTCGACTCGCCGTCGCCGCCGCTCTGCTGCTGCTGCTCGGCGGCCTGGTGAAGAAGCGTCTGGTACTCAGAGAGTTAGAGCTGTCGTGATCATCGCAGGCCTGCTGCTCGCCGCAACAGCCCGCGAGATTGCAATCTCGACTACAGATCTCGACTCGATCTCAACCACAGATCTCGACTCGATCTCAATCATAGATCTCGACTCGGCCTCATCAAGTAAATCTCGACTCGGCTAGATCTCGACTAGATCTCGACTCGGCCTCAACTAGATCTCGACTCGATCTCGGCTCGATCTCGGCTCGATCTCGACTAGATCTCAGCTCGATCTCGGCTCGATCTCGCCTCCTCCACCCTCGCGCGGCACGACCCATACGGCGGCCGCCGCTCCAGCACCGGCGAAAGAGCGAACCTACGGCCCCAATCGCATCCCGTGTCAGCACGGCGGCCGCCGCCCCATCACCGACCGACAGACAGAGCGACGCCGCGGCGCGACTCGGCCTACCGAAAAGAAGAGCCATCGTCTCACAGCGACAGTGCCCACTAAGACAAGACTCGGCTCGGCGTGTGCCGCCGCCTCCGACGGAGAAGAAGGCGGCGGAGTGCGCGTGGGCGCCGGCCAGCGGAGAGGTCGCGTCCGCGCCAGCGAAGAGGGCCACGGGGGGGGCGGCGGCGGGGGAGGTAGCGGCCGGCGCCAGTCCGAACCGGTGCAGCGCGTCGGCGTTTAAGGCCGCGTGCCTCCGCCGCCCTCCCCCTCCCCCGCGCGAGCGGACGAGGCTTCTCTTCGCGACGCCGCTGTCTGCAGAGAGGCGGAGGCCGCCCTCCCTCCAGCTGCTGGCGGCGGAGTGCTCGCCTAGTGAACCATTAATAATTAACGAATTAATAATGAAGAGGCCTCCCTCCCTCAGCTGCTGGCGGCAGAGTGCTCGCCTAGTGAACCATTAATTTATTAGTTAATAATGAAGAGGCCTCCCCCAGCTGCTTGGCAGCAGAGTGCTCGCCTAGTGAACCATTAATAATTAACTAATTAATACTGAAGAGGCCGCCCTCCCTCCAGCTGCTGGCGGCAGAGTGCTCGCCTAGTGAGCCATCAATTCATTAGTTAATAATGAAGAGGCCTCCCCCAGCTGCTTGGCGGCGGAGTGCTCGCCGACGCGCAAAGTCTCGAGGGCGAGGGCGAGGTCATGCGTCTCGAGATGCGAGGAGACCTGGTCAGAAGAAGAACAGTAGTCAGAAGAATCGTTACTGTACAGCCTCAACGTACTGCGTCTCGAGATGCGAGGAGACCTGGTCAGGCGAGAGAGAAAGGAGCACAGTTAGAGCGTCGTCCTTCTGGAGGTTGCGTCTCGAGGTTGCGGGGCGAGACCTGATAAGAAGAGAGAGAAGGATAGTCAGAGAGTCCTCTTCCCCAGAGCGGTGCGTCTCGAGGGTGCGAGGCGGGACCTGGCTCCCCGCCTGCGCCAGCAGCCGGTGGAAGATCGAGCTCATCATGTTTGTGACGACCTGTTAATTAATTAATCGGCCGTTAATTAATTAGACGTCGGTGAGAGACCGAGCTCATCATGCTTCGCGACGACCGAGTCGGCGGCGTCGTGCGCCGCGTCGAGCCGGCTCCCCCTCGCCCCTCCCCCCCGCGCGACGCGCCGCTGCGCCGCCGCACCCCTCCGCCTCAGCACAATCGGCGCGCCGGGCAGAGACAGGCGTAGTAGGTCGTCGGAACGGCGGCCGCGGCCGCGGCCGCGAGAGGAGGAGGAGGAGCTGGGCACGGCCAGGCGGGGCGTGAGGGGTCGAGGGGGCGTCGTAGAGGGCTCGTCTTGGAGGCGTGTCTCGGAGGTCTGTCGTTGGAAGTGTCTCGGAAGTGTCTCGGAAGCGTCGCACCTTCCCGACGCAGAGCAAGAGGAGGCGGCGGCGGCGGCGGCGGCGGAGAAGGAGGAAGAGCAGCCCTCTGCAGTGCCTCGCCCCGCGCCCGCGCCCGCCGCGCCGCTGCCGCAGCCCGCGCCTCTGCTGCCCCCTGCAGGCTGGCTGCCAGCCTCCACCAGCCGGGGCGGAGAGTCTGCGAGCGGGGCGTCCTCGTCTGTGGGGGAGTCGGCGGTGGAGCAGGAGCCCATCGCCTGCGCGAGCTCGAGCTCCATCCGAAGGTCGCCGTGCGACCCGCCGTCCAGCATGTACGGGTGCTCCCTGCGCGGGTACGGCCGCACCGCGCGCGTCGGCGGGTCGCGGGCAGCTGGCAGCGGGCAGCGGGCAGCGGGCTGCGGGCTGCGGGCTGCGGCGAGCGCGAGTCGGGCGCAGGCGTCGAGCGATTGGGACGGCGTCGCTGGTGCGCGGGGCGACGCGGCGGCGCGGCGTGGGCAGCCCAAACCCTCGCCGCTCTCTCGCGTGTGGCGTGCGCGGTGGCATTTTGGTGCGGGGTGGGAGCAGCGCGATTTGCGGAGAGTGCGGGGCGGGCGGCGGCGAGGCGAGGCAAATGGGGGGCCGATCGAAACGAGCGCACATTCCGTGTTGGGGTTGGAGCTGCTCGGCGTCGAGCAGCTCGGCGCGCTCGATAAAAGATTTTGAGAAACCACTGCTCAGTGCACTCCAAGTGCTCCAGAGTGTCTTGTCTTGTGGTTCTGTGTGTCGCTCCTGTGTGACCGTCATCGCCCGTCTAGCGTCCACCCATACCGCGTTGGTGTCCCAGTCGTTGGTCGGACTGTGTTTCGCCTTCCCATCAATCAATGCTCCAAGTGCTTGAGGGCCTTCCCACCCGGTCTTTCGCCTGACGCGCGTTGATCTCAAACACGCGCTTCCGTCTGACTATATCCTGCGAATTGCTCCAACTCTGTCGCCCTCTTCAACAACATCTGCAGCGCCCTGGGTGGGTGTGGGTACCGAGCGCCGCTTCGACGAAGCGAGGTTGGCAGGCGCCCCTCACGAGTCCGTTCAGACATGCCACACGCCCCTCGCAAGCGAGGTTAGTAGGCGCCCCTGGCGAGACCCGCAAGAGATGCCACACCACCCTCGTACCTATACTCCACCAATGAGAAGGTGAAGAGATCTTATCGACCAGGCGGGCAGGGCAGGCGGGCGGGCGGGCGGGCGGGGTCGGGGGAGACTATTCCTAGCGGGGTATCCCCTCCCGACCCACCTTCCGAACGGCCTACACCCTATCCAGGCTCCGAACATAGTTGGTCACACACCCGGAGGGTGGGGTGTGGCGGGGTCCCCACAAGCTCCAGCCTCAGGCCTCGCGGCACTCGCTCGCCTCAGCCTTCACTCGCGCCAGCAGGATGTCCATCGTCGAGGAGGTCGAGGATCCCGAGATCGAGGACTCTGGTGAGCCGCCGCCACGTGCCGCTGCCAGCCGGACGCCCTCGCCGCGCGGACGGCCAGCGCCGGCGCCCAGGAGGCGAAGCGCGGCCTCTGACGCTTTCCCGCCTCGCGGCCCAACGACCCTCGCAGATGAGGAGGACTCGGACGAGGACATGCCTGAGCTCGAGGCCGCCGAGGGCGGCGACGGCGATGCTGGTGCGCCGCACACCCGCGTGGAGATGCGAGGCGCCGGCGGGCTTGGGGTCGCCCGGGAAGGCCACGGGGAGGCGGAGCTTGGCAAAGGCTGAGGACGGGGGGGGAGGGGAAGGGGTTTGGCTGGCCGCGCCGCGGGTGCAGAAGCCGTTTCCCTCCCCTCCCCGGGGTCCTGATCCAGGTCCTCCCTCCACCCCTTCCCCCTTTCCCGGGCCTTCCGGGCCTGCCGCCTCGCCGGGCCTGCCGCCTTGCCCTTGGGACCCCTCCCGCCTTTGGGCCCCCCCCCCCCCCCCTCCTGCTGCTCACCCGTCCGCCCTCCGCTGCGCGCAGCCTCGGACACCTACATCATCTTCGGCGAGGCTAAGATCGAGGACCTCTCCGCGCAAGCGCAGCAGGCGGCCGCAGAGCGGTTCAAGCGGCCGGCGGGGATTTCTTTTCTTGTTGGTCACAGGGCTTCTGTTTTTCTCCTAGGCGGCCGCGGAGCAGTTCAAGGAGCCGGTGATGACGAACAAGCCGGAGATGGCGAAGGTGCCGAGAGATCCGCCGAGATCGTCCGAGATGGGCAGAGATGGGCGGAGACTGTGGCGTGCCCACCGCCAGCGATGAGATTGTATCTCGGCTGGACCCCGGCTGACCCTCCACCACCCCCCTGGTGTACTCTCACCCTCACCCTCACCCCCACCCTCACCCCCACCCTCACCCCCACCCTCACCCTCACCCTCACCCCTCACCCTCACCCCCACCCCCACCCCACCCCTCGCCCTGCCCCCCACCCCCTCACCCCTCACCTCCCCCCCGGCAGGTGACGAAGCCCGTCATCGAGGAGATTGGCGGCGAGGACGGCGAGGTGGACGAGACGGGGGTGGAGCCGAAGGACGTCGAGCTCGTGATGAGCCAGGCCGGCGTCTCGCGCGCCAAGGCCGTCAAGGCGCTCAAGATCAACGAGGGCGACATTGTCAACGCGATCATGGAGCTCACGATGTGAGGAGCCCGCCGCGGCGGGCAAGCAGCCTCTGCTCGACTTTGCGCTGGCACACGCGCACGCGCTACACCTCCGCCCTCGGCGCGGCGGCGGTGGTGGCGACGACCCGAAGGGTCGTGGAAGCCGGAGCGGCCATGCTTCGCTGACGCCACACCACCCCGCCCGCCGGGCGGCGGGAACCGAACCTCTGTCTCTGCCGGCGGCCTTCCCGCCAAAGTACAGCGCCCTCTCCCGCGCGTCTCGCATGGCGTCTCCCTCTTCTCCCTTTTATTGTCATCTCTCTACAGTCTCTCGCGTTCTTCTCGTTTATTTTCGACCCACAATACACGCCGCTGCCTCCGGCGCACACACCGGCAAATTTGTTGCATGTTGGTCAGTTGGGTTGTTGTGCGAGTATATGGGACAAAAGCGTCGAAAATGTCCCAAAAAAGCGTGTCTCGAGTTTGTTGCAGCTCCGCAGCCTGCGCGCGCTGCCAGGAAGCACCGCTCGCGCGTTCGGCACACTCAGTGGACCCCACCGAGTGTGCCGAACCAACAGGAGTGAGTAGGCTCGACGCCGTACTCGAGATGGAGCTGCAGAAAGTACGCCGCCGAGCGTGCCACCGACGGCGTCCCGGCGGCGGTGATGGAGTGTGAGACCTGAGGCTGCGGAGGTGACGCCTGAGGTACCGGCCCGTGCACAGCGACTCAGCCGGCGACCGCCACGGGCTCAGACGAGACTTGTCGACGCGTTCCGGCTCAGCTTCACCGTGGTCCTCGGGCGTCTGTCGACGTCAGGACCACCCATACAGTTCGCGGGTTTGAGGTCGCAAGAGCCAAGATGGTGGCGTTTGGACATCCCAACCATCACACAAGACAGCCTGTAGGTGATGGCGGGACGGCGCAGTGTTTGTGGCACTCGGCAGTAGGCACCCGCGGCACGGCCCCGCTGTCGGCTCTCGCGGGCTGCGGAACCGGCCCCCGAAGGGGACGGTCCGGGCGAGTGTGGCGAGCTCCTGCGCTAGTATGGGCACCCTCTATCACAACACTACTGATCCTGGTCATTAGAGCTGCCAGAGATAGCGTCAGGAGCCGGTAGGAGTCAAAACCCCTCATATTTGAGACATCGTGTCCCATATACTCGCACAACAACCCAGTTGGTGCTGAAAAACCAAAAACGAGCCGTCATATGTGCTGCTCTCCGCGAACAACCGTCGCAACCGATGCGCGATGGCTCAGGACTCGGCTCTGATCACTCTCTATCATACGTCGTATGAGTGAGCCAACTGCACTCCAAGTGCTCCCAGCGTGCTCCAGAGGTGTCGCACAGGGTCGTGCGAAAACCAATCGTTGACAAAAACACTCCCTCGCACACAACACTGGAAGGAGGGCTGCCACCGCAGCACAAGTGGGCTAACTTGTGCAGGGGCGGTACCGAGCAAGGTGGCCGCTCCTACCCCGCGGCGAGCTGCTTCTCTCTCTCCTGCTCGCTCGCAGCTGCTGACGGTGCGCAAGCCGCGGAAGAAGTCAGGAGAGATTGTGCGGGTAAAGGTATTGGCGCTGGGCTTCATCCGCGAGCCCGGCAGCGCGAGCTCTGCTCCCATCGGGGTACCTGAGGTCTTGCCACGCTTCTGCGTCCATCGGCAGTGTCCCCACCGGGGCAAAGTCGGCGGTTCCCGGTACACACGTCGCCCCAACTGGGCGCGCGTAAACGCAGGCCGTTTTCCCGTTTTCTGGTCTGTTGGCCCTCGCGTTCCTGCATTCCTGGGCGCCACCGGAGTAGCCGCGTACGCATCCACTGTACTCGCAGTCGTCGCAATCGCTGCACCCATATTTGCCCAAGGGGGCAAGCTTGGGCCAGGGTCCCCTTCCCACGCTGTCCCCGTGGACCATGTGGTCCCCTTCCCACGTACTGTTTGCTGCCCAGCCGGCCCAGGGGTCCTGCCAACGCCCATGGTAATAACCTAACAAGGAGTCGACGCCAAACCGTGCTGGAAAGATCGTCTTCATGTAGCATGTTTGTCCCGGTGATGGGCCATGCGGGGCGTAGTACATCGTGTTGCAAAAGAGGACTCTTCAAATCCCAGTTTGAAACACTCACGCCCGAATCCCATCCCGCGCAGGCAGTAGTCCGGGCAGTTCGGGAACGGGAACGCGTCCTCGTCGTAGCAGTTGCTGGT